CTGGAGGGGAAGGAGGTGCCTGGAGGGGAAGGAGGTAATCTCACGGAGGGTGCAGGAAGAATACTGAACTGGGATTCAGGACATCTGAGTCCAGTTCAGGGCACTTTCCACATCTGAGACATGGAGACTGGACTGGATCACCTCTAAGGGCCCTTCCAGCGCCAGTATTGTTGGTCTATGTCAATCGTTGGAGCATCGAAATGGGGAAGTGTCTGAGGAACTGTTGTTGAGGGTGATTTCACAGAGCAACGGTCCAGGTCTCTATCTCCTGGGCTGCTCACCCCTGGATGATCTCAGTCCTTTCACCATGTCTTATCTGCCCCACAGGGGTATTGGCCAAGCCCAGTCAGCCGCCAGCTGATCAGCGTTGAGGGTCTGGTCGCTGAAGTCCATCATGTCTCTGAGGGCAGAACTTGGAACTAGAAGTGACTTCCCAGACTGTTATGGTCTGAAAGGAAAGGTGGTGGGACATCTGCCTTGAACCGAGTTTCTCTTTTTTCTCTGTCTGTGCTGCCTGATCAGCTATCCCTGGGATATTTTCCAGGAAGTCCTCAAATCCGTTCCTTTGGGACACTCCTTTGTGTCGATCAGCCCTGACCTCCCGCCAACTGCAGCAACTATCAATTTCATCCTGGGAGGAAAATGGGCCACGAGGGCTGTATTAGTCTTCTATGCTGCATGACAAGTTGACACAAATTTAGTGACTTTAAACAACATGCCCTTATTAGCTCACAGTTCTATAGGTCAGAAGTGAGCACAGCATGGCTGGGTTTTCTGCTCAGGATCTCACAAGGCTAAAATGAAGGTGTTGGCTGGGCTGTGGTCTTGTCTAGAGTTCAGGGTCTTTTTTCAAGCTCGCCTAGTTGTAGCAGAACTCTCCTCCTTGTACTTGTAGCACTGGGGTCTCTGTTTCCCTGCTGGCTGTCAGATGGGGGGTGCTTTCAGGTCCTAGAGTCTGCCCACATTCCTTGCCACATTGGCCCCTCGATTCTCAAAGCCTGCAGTGGAGTATCTCCCTCAAGTTGAATCTCCCTCACGCGTGGAATCTCTCATTCAGGAAGAGCTCAGTTACTTTGAATCGCTCCCCTGATTAGGCCAGACTCACCCTGGATAATCTCCCTTTCCTAAATTGGACTGTACCATATAACATAACACAACCACAGGAGTAAAAATACATCATATTTACACTCCCAGGGATTGTGCTGCATGTGTGCATGGGGGTAGGAGAAGGAGCTTGGAGGACATCTTAGAATTCCGACTATCTGAAGGGCCAAGCAGGAC